ACACACACACACACACACTGTATTATTTTGCATAGTAAAGCTGTGAGAGTTGGTCCAACTTCTTACTAGAACCCATTGGACCCAAACAAAACACTACAGTTTTGAGAACGGGGGAGTGAAATGCTAATTTTTAATCCCCGCATACAGAGGGCAAAAAATGACTTTATTATTTGGCACAATAGTGCTGGCTGTGAGCCGTTTCATCGTCTTAGCAGACATCACACAGTTCTGAGAATGGGGGAGTTAAATGCTAATTATATACAGTATATTTATTTGGCAGAGTGGGTAGGGGTGAATGCTGCACCGTTTGCCATCTTTTATACTACTGGGAAATTGAAATGTTCTAAAGGTTACTACAAATTGGAGCTTCACAGAGATCCCTAAATACATTTTTGCCTGAACACATTCCTTTAATTTGGTTAATTACAACAGCTCCACTTACAAACATGCAAAGTCTGATTAGTTTTAATTTTGGTCGGTTTTGTAGCTTTCTGAGTAAGGTGAATCCTGCTTAAATATATTTTGCATCGTCTGTGTTTAGACCAGGATTTCTCAACACTGGCTCCTTCAAGCTGCATGGACTTCAATTCCCAGAATTCCCCAGTCAAGAGCCAAGGTTGAGAAACATTGATTGTAGAAAACTGGCTATGTGGATGCATGATTGGATAATGCTGACTGCTAGCTATTTTATTTCTATTTTTATATTGTGTATTTTATTTGTTTTATTTACTAGAGTCATGTAAAAGTGAGATAGGCAGCTATATAAATTCAATGAATAAATAAATCTTAGAGATAATGAATACAAAAGCATTTTGATCAATTAAAAAATGTATAGTTATATATACATGTATGCATTTATTTATTTCCCGGATCTAAATGTCTAAATCTTAGGTTGATCTCTGCTTTCCTGCCATATGTACTGAAATGAATGGATTGACAAAGCTAGGTCTGTCATAAATTATAGATAGTCCTTGACTTACAACCATTTTAAAACCATTTAGTGACTGTTCAAAGTTACAATTATAGATAGTCCTTGACTTACAATCACTTACAACCATTTGGAGACTATTCGAAGTTACAAGGGCACTAAAAGAAAGTGACTTATGCTCGTTTTTCACACTTACAATCATTCCAGCACCCCCATGGTCATGTGATCAAAATTCAGGTGTTTGGCAACTGACTCACATTTATGTCCTGGGGTTATTGATGCTCTTTTGCAACCTCCTGACGAACACAGTCTATGAGGAAGCCAGATTCACTTAACGACCATCGTGCTAATGTAACAACTCCAGTCATTCGCTTAACAATTATGGCAAGAAAGGTTGTAAAATGGGGTAAAATCCACTTGACAACTATTTTGTTTAGCAACAAAAGATTTGGGCTTTGCTGTGGTCATAAGGGCTTCCTGTGTATTTTTTTTATTTATTAAACCCTATATAAATAAATTATATAGGACCTGTATACTGCAAGAGTCAAAAAGAGGGCTGTGAAAATATTTACAGACCCCTCACATCCCAGATATAAGGTGTTTCAACTCCTTCCCTCAAAACGATGCTATAGAGCACTGCACACCAGAACAACTAGACACAAGGGGAGTTTTTCCCCAAACGCCATCACTCTGCTAAACAAATAATTCCCTCAACATTGTCCAACTATTTACAAAGTCTGCACTACTATTACTATTAATCTTCTCATCCCTCCTTATCACCCATCCTCTCCCACTTGTGACTGCTGTAACTTTGTGGCTTGTATCCTTACGATTTATATTGACTGTTTCCTAGTATGATTTGATTGCTTATTGTACCCTATGACTATTATTAAGTGTTGTGCCTTATGATTCTTGACTCTTGACGAATGTATCTTTTCTTTTATGTACACTGAGAGCATTTGCATCAAGACAAATTCCTTGGGTGTCCAATCACACTTGGCCAATAAAGAATTCTATTCTATTACTATTACTATATCGATTGCATTTGTTTAAAATGGCTGCCCTCAGATCACTCTTTTAGAGCTAGAGGTTTTGTTAAATTTCTAGACACATTTAATATGCAAACACACGATGCTTGAATTACCCAGGAGAGCTCTGGGAGTAAGATGTTAAATGAAAGTTAGCTTCCTGTCTGAAACAAAGACATCGGAAGAAGAAGCGGCCAATAAATTGTGCACCAGAAGAAGGCAGGGACTCACCTTCTGGATCCGTCAAGGAGGTAATATCTATGCACTTGTCCTGAGGCCAGAAACAACGCATCAGTTTGAGACTGGAGTTGTTACAAGTGTTATCAGCAGCTGTACAAGAGTAGCAATTCTGGAGGTTTTCGTTATGGCCTCGGACACGGATCATATCCGTCACTGCCAAGGAGAAAAACAGCAAACCATTGAAACAGTGAATGAGTCTTTGTATATGCTTGCATACATTAAATCATTATTATTATGGATAAGATAGATAACTTCTATTGTCATTTTTTGTGTGTGAGCACAGTGGCCCACATTAAAAATGAAATTCTATTGCCTACTCTCAAGAGAAAGTATCTATCTACCCAAACCCATACATAACACGCATATACACATGCGATATACATATGTATGTGTGTGTGTGTGTGCGTATACACACACACACACCCCTATATATGTATGTGTGTGTGTGTGTGTATATATATATGTGCGTGAGTGTGTATGTATGTATATATGTACACACACACACACACACACCCTCTAGGCCACTGCACCGAGCTCTTTCCTCACGATCAGGAGGCTGTGAGTTCGATCCTAGGTATAGGCAGATATTTCTCTCTCTGGGTGCAATGAGGACATATCTGCTGAACAAAACTCTGCATTGGCAACAGGAAGGGCATCCGGCCAGTAAACATTCAGCTCCATTCGGTTGCCCAGACTCCACCCTGCAAGGGATTATGGGGTTGTTAAAAGAGGAACAATACTTTGACCGAATCTAGATGTTCTCCTTCGGATACCACGAAGCTTCCTCCCGGAAGGTAACAAGGAAAACAGTGAAGAGGATGTGTAGCAACCCAGGCCTCACTTTGGACTCTGTTCAAGCATCATTATGTCAGAGTCTCTAGGCATCACGGCACGTACAAAACCCCAAGAAGCATTTTTAGGACTGTTCGTGAAACTGTACTTCAGTCCTTGGAGATTCCCAAGCACTCAGGTCATGGATGTCCCAAAGACACTTTTTCCAAAGGGCAACGGGGGGGACTTTCTTAGTTTTGGTTCCTTGAAAAAGAACTGAAGAAGCTTCTTCAATAAGAAGCAAAATGTTTTCAAGGGGAAAAAAAAAAACTAGTTGCCCTTTGGGACACCATACATCTGTGTTTCTTGGTTGTGGCAACTTTAAGATGGATGAACTTCAACTTCCAGAATTCCCCAGCCAGCCATGTAACAGCCTAGCAACAGAAATCTGGGTCCCAATTATGGTGGTTGTCAAAGACTATCTATAGTAGGGTATCTCTGACCTTGGCAACTTTAAGACTTGTAGACTTCTGGCCTTGCTGGCTGACGAATTCTGGGAGTTGAAGTCCACAGGTCTTAAAGTTGCCAAGGTTGCAGACTCCTGAATAGAACAAGCGAAGACTCATTTAATGGGATATTTGAAGTCATGCAGCTATCAGTCCCTGAATAAAACTCCTACGTGCTCAAATATGTACCTCTGGGTATTTCCTTGGGTACATCACTGTTGCACAGGTCAGTTTCACAAAATTCCTCTGCCAAAAACACCAGCCGATGGCCCAGAAGGTGTGAGATGGAATTATTAGTCTTTCCACTGATGTCACAGCCCTTGAGGAAGTAGGTGGAGATCTTGGGTCCTGCAGGACAACGGAGGAAGAGAAAGGCAGAGACACAACGGCCGTCATGGCAGGTTCCTGAGCTCGTACGTACAAATCGGCTCTCGGTTTTTAATGGGGATTCTTCCTATCCTTCCCTTGACAATGTGAAAAATTCTCCAACGAAGGATTTTCTCAGGCAGAAGCCGCCTTGAGTTGCCATGTGCGATTAGACGGCAGGATAAATTTCCAAATGAATAAATAAATAAAATGCAGCCTGGATCAGCCATGGGCCTCACGCTTTTCCCCCCATCACCCTCTTACCCCTATCACGCCCTCCCTTTCTCCCTCCCCAAAACTTACGACTTATTATGGTCATAACGGTGGTTTTGCACGTCTGCTGGTGGTCTTTACATGTTTCTGTATCCCAGCAGTCGCTGTTCCCGTTACAGGAGTAGCATTGAAGGGCAACAACTATTAGAAGAAGTTGAAAGGGAAGTCATTAGTAAAGCAGGGGGCAACAGGTAGGCCTCAGCATACAGCTACAATTGGGATCGCTGCAGTTGTTAAGTGAAACATAGGGCTGTTTAGAGCAAGGGTCTTCAAACTTGGCAAGTTTAAGACTTGTGGACTTCAACTCCCAGAATTCCTGAGCTAACGTGACTGGAGGAGGAATTCTGGGAGTTGGAGGCCACAAGTCTTACAGCTCTCAAGTTCGAAGACCTCTGGTATAGGATTTCCTGCTTGCCTTATGGCTTTTGCTTGTAACCGGGTTGGGAAAGTCACAAATGATGATCACCTGATGCAGCCCCATGCGGCAAACCTTATAAATGCACGCCATTTGCCAAATGACCAAATCACAGGACCAGGAGATATTGCAATGGCCATAAGTGTGATGACCGATTGTAAGCCCTTTTTTTTCAGTGGCATTGTAACTTCAAATGGTTGCTAACAAATTTTTGTAAATTGAGGACTATCTGCAGAAGGCCTCTGTAAAACAGGGATATTGGGAACAGACTTCTCTACAGAAATTATTTCCTTCCTTCCTTCCTTCCTTCCTTCCTTCCTTCCTTCCTTCCTTCCTCTATTTCCTTTCCCCTGTTCCTTCCTCCCTCCTTCTTTTCTCTTTTTCTCCTTCCTTCTTTTCCCTTTTCCTCCTTCCTTCCTTCCTTCTTTCTTTACCCTTTTCCTTCCTCCTTCCTTCCTTCTTTCCTTCCTTCTTTTCCCTTTTCCTTCTTCCTTCCTTTCCTTCCTTCCTTCCTTCCTTCCTTCCTTTCCTTCCTTTTCCCTTTCCCTTCTTCCTTCCTTTGTTTACTTCCTTCTTTTCCCTTTCCTTCCTTCCTTTCCTTCCTTCTTCTCCCTTTTCCTTCTTCCTTCCTTCTTCTTTTCCCTCCCTCCCTTCCTTCCTCCCTTCCTT